GGTTAGTGTAGGGGCCTTAATAATTGTACTAGGGTTCCTTTAAAGGGATCCTTAAGGGTTTCTATACGGGATCTTTGATAGGGTTCTATAGTGGGGGCCTTAAGAATTAGAATAGGGTTTGGGGTATAGTAGACTATGATTAACATAAGGAACCCCCCAAAAGCTTATTCTAATTATTAAGGCCCGTACATTATTGCCATCACCCCTAAGCCGTAAGACCCTAAACCTCGCGAGCCTAAAGCTGCAAACCCTAAACCCCTAAACCCTAAACCCTAAACCCCTAAACCCCAAACCCAAAGCCCTAAGCCCTAAACCCGAAACCGCAAGCCCCAAACCCTAACCCCTAAACCTAAACCGTTGCGCAGCCAGGCACTTGACCGGTTACCAGAAGCTCTCGCGCGCATGAGCCTCGCAAGAAGGAGGCCCGACGTGGAGGGCTTGGCTTGAGGATTCTGTAGCGGTTTGGGGTTGAGGGTTTAGGATTTAGGGTTTAGGGTTTAGGGTTTAGGGTTTAGGGTTTAGGGTTTAGGGGTTTAGGGGTTTAGGGTTTAGGGTTATGGGTTTAGTAAGACACCACGAACTGCAGTCACATGTTGCTTGAAAGGTTTTTTTAGGCGTAACCGGGTTTCAGAAGGGCTTGATTTGGAGTTTGAGTTCCTGACAGGGCTTACGGGACGGGCTTATTACCAGTGGTTCAGGACCATTTTCAGGGCTCCGTGCTTTGTGCGTTGGTTTATGGCATGGGGCGTCTGCGGCTGAAGGCTTGCTAGGGGCTTCGGTTTGGGGCTGCAGGGTTCGAACACTAAGGGGATGTCATCTTTTTTTGGGGGGTTTAGGGTTTAAGGCTTAGGGTTTAGGGGTTCGGGGACCGGGACAGCCTTTACGGATTGAGGTTCAGGGCTGCGGGCGAGAAGTGCGCTGTCGACTTCGCCTCACCCTAAACTCTAAGCCCTAAACCCTAAACCCTGGCAGTCAGGACAGAAAATGCCTCCTAAACCCGAAACCCTTAGCCTTCCATCGGCATTGCCCTCTGTAGCTGGAGAGTTGGAGGAGGCTATGATTCTAGGTGG